GAGCAGGGGAAGCGCAGCAGCCCGGAAACGGGCTCCAAAAACAATGTTGGGCTGCCCCACGTGCCCCCTCCCAACGTGAGCTCCCCTGTTTGCAGAGGCCAGAGCCACGCTGCCGAAAACAATTCCCCCTTTATTCATTAGTTTTTGTTGTTGTTGTTCTTCTTCTTTTTAACTAACGTCGGCCTGCAGGTTTTTACATGAGTGCGCAGGTCCGCGCCCCCGTGCAAACGGGCTCCAAAAACAATGTTGGGCTGCCCCACGTGCCCCCTCCCAACGTGAGCTCCCCTGTTTGCAGAGGCCAGAGCCACGCTGCCGAAAACAATTCCCCCTTTATTCATTAGTTTTTGTTGTTGTTGTTCTTCTTCTTTTTAACTAACGTCGGCCTGCAGGTTTTTACATGAGTGCGCAGGTCCGCGCCCCCGTGCATATGCAAATGAAATGCGGCACATATATATGTGTGTATATATGTGTGTGTATCCTGGCCTGAACGTGTTCGTGTGTCCGGAGAACGCAGACTCCGCCGCCGCGCAAAGGGCCGTCGAGGCCCCGCGCCCCTTCCACTCGCGGCGATTTTCTTCTGTAAATTCGTTTTACGGCCCCTCATTCTGGTGCCCGGGACGGATGTGCAGTAAAACGGCGTCGCACTCTAATCGCGCGATTGGCCGCTCGCTGAGCAAAGTTTATTGATAGCTGCGGGGCTCTAATCTCCGAGAAACACAGGAGGCTCCTGCCCTCATTTAGGGATAATTATCGAAACGGGGCAGGGCCGCGCATTCCCTTTCCTTTTAAGCGGCCCCAATAAAGATGGGAGATAGGAGCGTATAGATTATGAAATGAATTGATAAGGCAGACATTTTATTAACTGATAAACAACGGGATGGGATTGGAATGAATTATCCTGCAGGAATTATCCTGCAAGCAGCTCTGCGCAAACTCTTATACGCCGCCCGTCTAGGCTCTATACCTGCAGTCCGTGGCATGGGCGCTGTAGCTGCCGTCCCGCGTGTGCACGAGGCTCCCACGCACACGCACCAGCTGTGCTGGGCTTTACGTGCTCCGGATTTCTAGTTGACTTGCAGCGGATTCCGTGAAAAAAATAGGCACGACCGCATCAACCATGCATGTATTACCCAACATACAGCACAAGTGTATAGCGCTATATATCTTGATTTTCCCTCCCAATTCCCGGTGACTTCCGAAGTCTCCTGCCAGGGGGGTGCAGCGGTGCCGGCCCTAGCCCGGAGCGGCGGCGGAGCCCGAACCTCGGGGGCTGCCCGCCCCCCATCGGGCCCGGGGGCCGGGCTGGGGGCGGGCCGGGGGGGGGGTAAACAATCTGTCACGATTAGTCAATGCCTCTAATAGGCAGACAAGTGATGTTGTTTTTAGGCGCCAGCAGCGGTCTGATCAAAGGCTCGGGCTGGAGGAGGACTATTGAGGACGTTAACCCGCATCAAGGGAGCAAGGCGCCTTAGCCCTGGGACGTCGGCACATTGAGCCCGACAAAATTAGTTTGCTCTACCAATCACACGACATTTTCCCAAAGTCCGGTGCTCGGCTCAAAGATGCGCTTTATTTTTGTGTGTGTATGTCCCCACCATCCCGACGAAGGAAGCGTGCACACAAATAGCGATGCGTTGTGTTTCACGTTGTGTTTCACACCTTGCCCTGATCCTACAGGTAGGATCTTTACTATTTTTATTTCTTCATCCCAAATACAACCGCATAAAAAAAAAAAAAAAAAGGTGATGTGTTTATTAGACCTTCAGGCACCTCCGAGCCTGCTTTCGATCTCATTATTTTGATGGAAATATGAATAGAGAAATAGAGCTGCTGTTTTCTCCTCTTCTTTCTCAGAGTGATCTGAACACTGGGATGTTGCTGAGGTTGGAGGAGATGAGTATGTATCCCATACTGGGAGCGAGATCCCGCTTTCATTGAGAGTTGACAGAACGAGATAATTAGCTCTTTATTTATTTCTCAGCAATGGACGCTTTGTGTTTACGTTTCTGTCATACTTGGTGGTATTTTAATCACTGTTCCATAGCGAGAGCTCGATTCCAACTCTCATGCTGGCAAGCGCTCCGCCTGGAAACGGGGAGTCAGCGAAGTTTCTTTCGTTTCTTATTTCCTCCTTTTCCCCCTCTTTTTATTTCTTAGTGAAACGGAGAAGCTCTCAGATAGGAAGGAAGAAATCAAGTTTACGAAACGAAATCTGCCCTGAGATTACTCTCTTTGTTTAACGGGAGAATGTTTAGTATGAAAACTCTTCTTGTCTTGCTTTCTGTGCTCCGAATCACCGAAATATTCGTGTATTTTAGGAACTTTTTTTCTTTTACTTCTGTTATGCTGATATTATGACTCGTTTTCTTGTTTTCCTGCCTTGGTTGTAAGGGACACTGAAGTGAGGGGCTGGGGTGGGGGGGAATGTGTCACTTTATTGGTGTTTGTTCCAATCCAGTGTTTTTATTGGGAACTGCAGCGCTTCCCTCAAGGCACTTGTGCTAGATAACAATATTGGGCAATTAGCATCCTAAACAGTCCCGTTTCATGTAATGAATGTGCTAGGCAAAGCGATTACCCCTAGCATTTTATTTCAGAGGGAATCGAGCAAATGATGCGTGGGGGAGGGGGGGGCGGGGGGTTGGGGGGGGAGAAGGAGGCATCTCTAAGCCCATTCAGGGCATTGTCCGTCTTTCGTAAACGTTATCTTTGAATTAACACGGAGAAGTAAGAAAGAAGGGGTGTCGCTGATGTTGTCTTCCTTGTCCCTATTTTTATTTCCTCTGAGACAGTAGCTCCCGACTGCAAGAGGTGGGAGCGCTCTGCAAAACACAGGGAGCCTCGGCGGATTTGGAAAGAATCCCTCCCCCACCCCGCATGTCGTGGAACGGAAAAGCTCCCCGTG